ATTATGATTATATAATAAACGTTATTCTTAATATAATAGAATACTTTTTAAGGTTAAAATTATTTATATAAGCCAAGAAATATCAATTTAAAATATTACGAAAAGGTAAAATATGCCTTAAATCACTCTTTTTAAGGCTAATACAATTTTTATAAAGTATTAGAGAACTAAAAAAACATATCTATAAGTTAAAGGTATATTTATTATAAAGAATCTATATAATTTAATTAAATGAAAAAAGACTATATAATAATAATTAAGTAAAAGATTAAAAAAAAAGCATTATATAAACTAAATCATCAAACTTAATACGTTATAAAAATAGTAATAAGATTAATTATAATATATAAATTTGTTAAAAGGCTAAAAAAATGTCTAAAGAATATAAATATATAAAAAATAATTAGTTTTTTTACATTATAATGATATATAATAAGTATAAAGTTATAGTATAAAAGAAAAGTAAGCAGGTTACTTATATAGATAAGTTACTTATAAATCACATTAATTAATTTTACCTTATATTAAATAATTCTATTAATAATTTTAAAGAATATTTCTTGATTTTCTCTTTTAAAATTTTATTTATATGCCTAACTCTAGCAATTTCCCTCTTTATAAGCGTGTTTTTCATATTCTTTATAATACTAGAAAGTCTGTTTTTTTCTTTTTTAATCTCTTCTTGATCTTTTTGACCTCTCTATTTCTATATTCTAATTTAAATTAAGTTAAAATACAGAGATAAAGAGGTCTTCTTCTCTTAAATCTTGTTTTTTAGACAGTTTTCTTGATTTTAGTATACAAAACATATAATAGCCTCTTTATAACGCTTTAAAATAAGTATAATGCTTATATAAAGACTCTAGTGCTTCTAGTAGAGTTTTTTGCTAAATAATAGAGTTTTCAGCTCTATTAATAGCATTTAAAGAGGGTTTTAGTCTAGATTAATAAAATTAAAATTAATGTTTTAGATAAGGTTTTTCAGTGGTTTTTTTGGCAAAATCCTCTAAATCTATATAAAATAAAAGATTAACAAGATCTTTTATAAAGTTCTAATGCTAATTTGTGTCCTGATTACTAGTTTAAGTTGTTTTAAAGCTATTAATAGCTAAATAAAGCTTATAGCTATTTATAATAGCTAAATTAAGACACTAAAAAAACTCCTGAAAGGAATTCCTTAAGATTTTAACGAAAATAAGTAGTAAAGGCTGCTTAAAGCTAATTTGCTTAATCTAGTCCCCTTATATAATGATTATAATAACTAATAAATAAGGGGATAAGAAGAATTTTAGTTATTTAGTCTCTAAAGAGTTTTTGAGTAATTCTTAAATTTGAGGCTAATTTTCGGGGTCTTTTTTGCTTATGTTTAATTAATTCAGGTAAGAGAAATCCGCTAGTCATTCCTATATAGAAATTAATTTAATAGCTTAAAAATTAAGCAAAATATTAAATAAAGAAGAAATAAAAAAAGAAAAACTTACTAATAACTATATTTGAATCTTGCTATAGCTAATAAGCTATTCCATAAATAATAGTAGCTTCTAGATGGCCCTATTCTAATGCTTTATTTATAATTTTAAGCATTAAAAGGCAAGGGGGGTAGCTAGCTGCTAATTTTCGAATAGTTTTAGTAATAGTAATTCCATGCTCTTTTAGTGCTTAAACAGATTTCTATAAAGTGAATAAATTATCCAAAAATAACTGAAAAATCAGCTTTTTTTGCTTAATAAATAGAGCTAAACATAAAACTAAATAAACAATAACTAATTTATATAGGATTCAAAAGAGTAATTTTTGTAGAATTTAGAATAGAAATAAAAACACATTATTTAGCAGCTAAAAATCCCTTGTTTAACCCTGGCTTTATGGATTCCTAGTTAAAAATATAACTAGAATTAGCTAAAGCAAAAATTTTGAACCCTGTAAGTATAGGCTTGCTAGGAATAGTAACTTTTTATAAAGTTTGACCCTTAAATTTAATTATAACTTTATTAATAGTGATATTTGTGCTTAGAAGCTAATAAAAAGCTGATTTTTAATAAAGAATAGACATAATAAAGTCTAATTTATCTTACTAATTAGCCTTTATAAAAGAGGGATTTTCTCTTTTATCTTTTAAATATAAAAATAATATAATTATTAAGGCTT